TCAAGACAAGAGTGCAGCCCATGTCAAGCACTTTCAGAATTGTTAATATTTAGCGCTGGGACCTAAAAAGCCATCTTGCTGCAGAAAAGCACTGCTGCTCTCCTTATTATTCATCAACGCTGACAACTGAAGTAAATTCATGTCATACTTGAAGACCGAGAAGGCCACAATGTAGCCGCCCGCTCACAACAATAACTAAAATACAACGTGTAGCTAGCCACGCACATGACACAACAGGCAATACAAAAATCTCAGAGCATAGAAGACAACACAACCTGACACCCCTGTAACAGAGAGTTGCGGGTGTGAAATGTTACGAAGCATGAATGAACATCCAGTCACAGTGTGTCTGCGATGGAAAACATTGCTAGCAATAGCTGTAAAATTTTAATGACAGTAAGGATATTAGAAAAGCTCAGTAAATTTTTTTTTTTTGGCAGTCAATGAGATCATAATTAGTAGGGCTGTACCGAATATTTGCTTCGTATTCGCTTCAGTGGACTTATTAACTATTTGGTATTTGGCCGAATGCTTGCGGTTGGATCGAATATGAATAGTGGTTGCCTAACACCCGTTTTGCATACACTGCGATGGACAGAAATAACTCTCTCATCAACACAATAGTTTCTGTTGCCTAAGTCTGTTATAGCAGGGGAAACTGCGACCCATGGACGGCATCAATATCGGAGACACTGAAAAGTACATCACACAAAGCCAACAGACGGGCTCGTTGCAGAGATGTCTTTCTGCCCTGACGCCGCAAGGCATTCCACAAGGAGGATGAGGAGGAGCAGCAGCAGGAGATGAGAAAGAAAAAGTATGACCAACACAGGTGCATAGTACTTTATGTGCGACTGTCAGTAGCCGAATCTCCAGGACATCCGCCCGTTTCCATATACTTAAGACAAACTTTCGGTTCGGGTGCAGGCTGACTACCAACCTCCAAGGGGAGAGACACACGCACGCACACGCGCAAAAACACCCACAAGTTCCGTCCGTCCCTCCCCTCGCTTCCCCTTTCCTCCTGAGTTGGCCCCGGGCACTCAGCGTGTTAAAGTCGCAGGTGTACCTATACCGTTTACTACTGTGATTACGCTGCACTTTGTGGACTGAATGCCCAGGTGAGCGGCTCTGTGACTGGGCACGATCAGTTTCGTAACGTACCGCCGCTGTTTGATGGGGAAAGTCAAACACGGACACCTTCAAAGGGCAGAGGAGCTATATTCCTGACAGAAATGACAGTTAACAGGACAAGGCACAGCAGCGAGCAGTTTAATACATATACAGCGGTAACTTACCTAAAGGTCGACCAATCACAAGTTGGACGGCATCAATATCGGAGACACTGAAAAGTACATCACATGAAGCCAACAGACGGGCTCGTTGCAGAGATGTCTTCCTGCCCTGACGCCGCGAGGCATTCCACAAGTAGGACGAGAAGGAGAAAGAGGAGCAGCAGCAGCAGCAGATAAGGAAGAGAAAGAAAAAAAAAGCATGACCAACACAGGTGCATAATAATTTATGTGCGACTGTCACTGGCCGAATCTTCAGGACATCCGCCCGTTTCCATATACTTAAGACAAACTTTCGGTTCGGGTCGTAGTCAGCCTGCCGGCTGACTACCACCCTTAGAGGGGAGAGACACACGCACGCACACGCGCAAAAACACCCACCTGTTCCGTCCGTCCCTCCCCTCCCCTCCTGAGTTGGCCCCTGGTCCTCAGCGTGTTAAAGTCGCGGGTGTACCTATACTGTTTACTACTGTGATTATGCTGCACTTTGTGGACTGAATGCCCAGGTGAGCGGCTTTGTGACTAGACACGATCAGTTTCATAACGTACTGCCGCTGTTTTACGGGGACAGTCAAACACGGACACCTTCTTCAGAGCTTCAAGCTCAAGATAAATCTCTGTACCCGTAGCCACAGGTGAATGTCCACAAGCCGAAGATAAATCTGAATACAGAGAGCCACAGGTAAATATCCTCAAGCCCAGGATAAATCTCTGTACAGAGAGCCACAGGTAAATGTCCTCAAGCCCAAGATAAATCTCTGTACAGAGAGCCACAGGTAAATGTCCTCAAGCCCAAGATAAATCTCTGTACAGAGAGCCACAGGTAAATGTCCTCAAGCCCAAGATAAATCTCTGTACAGAGAGCCACGGGTAAATGTCCTCAAGTCCAACATAAATCTCTGTACAGAGAGACATTGGCAAATCAATTTAAGTCATTTTACTGATAGTCAAGGGAAGATGTCCCCAAGCCCAAAGTATAGCATTACAATGACGGGTAAACGTCTTCAAGCACAGGTTAAATCATTTTACTGATATTCAGGTGTAAATATCTCCAAGCCCAAGGTAGACCCTTTTACGGACAGTCATGGGTAAATTTCTCCAATCCCAAGGTAATTCTCTGTACCAAGAGCCAGGGGTAAATGTCTCCTTGTCCAAGATCAACCATTTTACTGACAGTCATGGGTGAATGTCTCCAAGTCCAAGGTAAATCTCTGTACCGAGTGCCAGGGGTAAATGTCTTAAAGTCCAAGATAAACAATTTAACTGACAGTCACGGGTCAATGTCTCCAAGCCCAAGGTAAATCATTTTACTGACAGTCATGGGTAGATGTCATCAAACCTCAAGATTAATCATTGTATGGAGATGAAACTGCATGTGTCCCAAAGTCTAAGGCAAATCATTGTACACATTTTAATGACGGTGAAGCTATTAGACAAGCTCAGTAAACTTTTACTGGCAATCACTGAGATAAAACTACCTCACATATACAAACTACTTGTGTTGATTTCAACGCTAAATGTTCAGAAAGCAATGGTAAACTACTGAATGTAAAATTGCCTACATAACCCTATTGTCCCAAGGAAGCTAAATCTGGTCACTTTCACTTGTGACACAGTCCCATGAATGCTGATACAGTCATGTCTGCAGCAACCTGTTCTAAAAAAAGTTAGTTAAATTTCACTGGTTCTGTGTGTGCCTGCAGTGTTTAACTCTTTGAGTCTCAAGGAACGCATCATACATTCATAGGTTCTACATAGAGACCCAATAAACGCAGGATGCGCCGATTTTACATATATTTTGACTACCCATTGGGCCTCTGATGCTAAACCCCTTGGGACTCAAAGAGTTAATAGCCAGAATATAAATATAGTACCTATAAACGCATTTATGGGGTTTTCATTATGACCCCAGTGGCATTTCGTAGATAAACATTCTTTAGGTAAAATTTTCCCACAAGCCTCAGTGATAGAGGTCACGGCATTAGACACATGATAGATTGTGTTTTTTTAAAATCCTGGAGAATGTATTCCATTTAATGTGTCACTCTGTTCACATTTATTGATTACCCCTTTATTAATTCTGAAGGGGGAAATTGTTAAATGTAGGCTAAGGTTTTTTTTTTTGGGTGGGGGGGATGGGGGGGGGGGTTGACCCCCACTGGTTTGTGACCCTTTTTTTTCCTCATTTCTGGAATTAGCAGGGGGTGGGGAGGGTCAAACTACAAAGAGACAACAAAAGCTGGAAATTGTTCGCAACGTCATGCAAAGATACACAACTTTTTTTAAAACATAAATTCAATGAAAATCAGTAATCATTTAGCTCAGATAGTATCAATTTTATTGCCAACAACTGACACAGAAATAAGGTAAACTGCACAATTTAATCACTGTAAGCTCAAATTAACTGAAATAGCACAATTTTTCTGAAACTCGATGAGATCAATTATGCGCAGACATCACAATTTTACTGACCGTCAATGAGACAAAAACTGAGGTTGGCTAGTATAATCTTTTTTTTTCAGTCCATAGATAAAATTAAGCCAATACTGCAAATAAAGTCAGTCTATGAGATAAAAAGAGCTTTGGTGGCAAACATCTAAAGACAGTCAATGAGATAAAACAGGAGTAGATGGCACACATTTAAAGATAGCCAATGAGATAAAACATATTCATATGGCACAAAATAGGGACAGTCAATGGGACAAAACAGGAGCAGATGGCACACATTTACAAATAGTCAATGAGATAAAATCAAATCATATGGCACAAAATAGGGACAGTCAATGAGATAAAATAGGCAGATGGCTTATGTTTAAGGACAGCCATTTAGTTAAAACAAAATTATATGGCACACAATAGGGAAAGTCTGTGAGATCAAATATGCTCAGATGCCCCCCCCCCAAAAAATGTAAGAGTTAGTGAGGTAAAGTTTGCAGTGGTGACTCTACTTGTATGTGTTTTTTTTTTTCTCACTATCTGATTATATAGTAGGAGTAAATGATGCTACTACATTTTTAATGCTGATCTTTGAGAATCCAAACACAAAACATCAAACTACACATCTTGAAGAGTAAAGACAGGCATGAAATAAGCTGTCCTGGAATCTGTCAGCTATCAAGTAGTCATTCAACTCTGCTTGCCATGAACATTCAGTTCTTTTGTAAATATGCAGCTTTGCTGAATCCTGTGAAAGTTTTCATCTCTACTGAAATTATTCAATTCTGAAATAATTTGATGCTTTTGAAGTCATTCTTCTTCTTCTTTCTTCACCGGGAGTAAACTCCAGTGGAAAGTCCTGAATTTTGGCTTTGAAGTCATTTAACTCTCCTGTAATCCTTTAAAACTCATGAAATTGTTTAACTCTGATGTAATAATTCAACTTTATAGTCATGATTCAAATGATACTGTAATGAATCCTTTCTCTCTAATTCCTTGAGTCCCGGAAATTTGTTACTTCAACTTGTTAAATCATAAGTTGTTATTTTAACTAACAGACGTCTGGGCTCAAAAGAATCAAAATACTAATTCAATCTGGAAAAAGAGTTAAATTAACAAGCAGGGCAAAGTGGGTTAATATAACAACTGAATATGGTACAAGATGTACGAAAGGACTATTATAAAAATAGAAATCAGTTATTGCATGATGCACTGTTTGGAGTGAAAGAGTTAATTATACAACTCTTGTGAAATATTTAAACTCTATTGTAATCATTCATGTGTCCCGAAGTTGTACATTGATCTCCTCCCATGAGGTGGGTTGAAATACCACTTTTTGGTCAGACTGGAAGAATATTCTGGCATGGTCATTTTGGTGGTGGTGATTGCTTTTGTACTGAACTCATTTTGGATCTGCAGACATAAACACATGGTTTCATTAATTCTGCAGTGTTTTCTCTCTTACAGATGATGCTAATTATGATGACTAAGAGGATGATTCTAATGATGTTGATCAAAAAAGTAATTATGGTGTTGGTCAGAATGGTGATTAAAGTGATGACCAAAATGGTGATGATCAGGATGGTGATTATGGTGATAATCAGAATAGTGATGAAGGTAATGATCAGAGTGTTGATTAAGGTAGTGATCAGAATGATGTTTATCAGAAAGATTATTAGCATGACAATGATTAGAATGGTGATTATGGTGATGATTAGAATGGTGATGATCAGAATGGTGATGAAGGTGATGATCAGAATGATGATTATAGAATGATCAGAATGGTGATGAAGGTGATGATCAGAATGGTGATTATGGTGATAATCAGAATGGGGATGAAGGTAATGATCAGAATGTTGATTAAGGTAGTGATCAGAATGATGTTTATCAGAAACGTTATTAGCATAATGATGATTAGAATGGTGATTATGGTAGTGATCAGAATGGTGATTATAGAATGATCTGAATGGTGATGAAGGTGATGATCAGAATGGTGATTATGGTGATAATCAGAATGGTGATGAAGGTGATGATTAGAATGGTGATTAAACTGATGATCAAAATGGTGATGATCAGGATGATGATGATCAGAATGGTAATGAAGGTGATGATCAGAGTGGTGATGATCAGAATGGTAATGAAGGTGATGATCAGAATGGTGATGAAGGTGATAGAATGGTGATTGTGGTAGTGACCAGAATGGTGTTTATCAGAAAGGCTATTATAATGATCAGAATAAGGATTATGGTAGTGATGAGAATGATGATTATGGTAATGATTAGAATGGAATTTTTGTGCTGATCATAGAGGTGATTATGATCATATTATATTTAGATTACAAATAAGTTCTTCTTCTAAAACTTCTGTGCACATCTGTTTAACAGATCTGGCTTAACTGTATGCAGACTCTTGATCCCCCACCTCTCAGACAGGTGCACAGGAAACTGATAGGAAGGATGATTATAGGGACGATGATCTCGGTGACCATAATGATGCCTGTGATGATGTTACAAGGCCGCCCACTAAAATGATGATTATAATGAGGGTTATATTGATGATTAGGAACATGATGACTGTGATCACGATAATAATGCTTAGGATGATGATTATACTGATTAGGATGAGATAGCAATGATGATTATGATGTTTATATAAAATATAATTTTCAGTTTTTCCACATGATTAAGGAATTATTCATTTTCCAGGATGCCAAACGTTGGTTTCAGGGCCCCATTTTGTGAGAGAACTCCCCCCCCCCCCCCCCAAGCATTAAGCAAAAGTCAACTATTTAGGGGTGTACTATTTTAACCCTTTCGCTGCTATGGACGTCTTTTCCCGATTTCCCGTACGCTGCTACGCCCGTCTTTGGACGTTATTTTGTTTCTTGACCTCCAGTGCTATGGACGTCCTAAGCCGTTTTTGGACTTTTCTTACAGATTTCTGTTACCTCGTATTTTAATGGCTGAAGAGCAATATACATTAGCTATATTTAGATTAAACTGACCCATTTACATATGATTAAAAGCACTGGCACGTACTTTTAGGTGTGTTTAAGGCTTGTTTACTGCATTTTGCGTTATCCCGTTGCTTTGTTTACCGTGACAGCGTGGTCGGTGATCTGTGAATTTTGTGCCCTGATATATATTTGTGCTTTTGGATTATTCTACACTTAGTACAAAATGGCAAGAAAACTTGTTAAAGTTGATGAAGAATTGATGGAGTTTGTATCAAAAGTGATAGCGACGATGACTTTGAAATGTGTACTTCTGACAGTGAACAAGAAGATTTGACTAGGCCATCAGTATCGACTGCTGAAACCGGCGTGTCCAAAAAAAGCTGTTTGCCTGTCCGACGTCCTCATCGTCGGAATCAGAGAGCAGCGACAATAAAGCGCCATCAAAACGGCAATAAATTGATCAGTTATCTTGATGAACCGATGATTTGAAACCAGTAGTGAATGATTTTGGTGACTCCAGCTCTATCTGTATTTCTGCTACTGTAAATTCAAACACTTAAGTCACTAAAATTTCTCGTCTTTCCCGATGGACGAACTAATTTTTTTTTCTGTCTGTCTGCTAATGCTTAGAACAAAGAAACTCAAAATAGAGTACTTGAGCAAAGACTGTTTGCTAAAAACTCCCGTAAAATAATGTCGAGGGACATATTTTTACTATTGTTGAGAATCTCAAACATTTCTTAGACAACAGTGCTCATGCAGGCGGCGATAGACTACAAACTTAGACACATTATTGATAGTCTGCGCACATCATTCATTATGATCATTTACACAGCGCAATGCGTCAAGCGGTAGCATAGTGTAATTAGTATCACGTTCGCCTTAGAATCGGAGGGTCGTGTGTTCAACCCCCAAAGTTTTTTTTTTTTTTTTTTTTTTATTAATTGTAAATTTTCCTTTGAGTTCCTGCTACTTTTCAGCAACGGACGACTTGAGTATTATTATGATTTTTTTTTTTTTTTTTTTTTTTTTTGGTATGTAATAACATGGTGACTACAAGTAAATATGATTAAAGTGGCAGCCGTGGTAGGTTCGTCAATCAAATTTTGGGATAAGGACTGGGAACAGTTACTCCCATTAATTTCCCCCCCCCCCCCCCCTCGAAGGGTGATAGCTCCGTTAGTCAAGTTTGTTGGGCACCATCGTACCTCTGACTTGTCACCACTCGGACCAACCACACAACTCCCCAGGGTAAAATTTTTAGGTGTACAAAACATAGCCCTCACCGCGGACGCATCTTTTGCGTTTAGAGGATAGAAAAGTATTGCGCACAGCAGAGACTTTTTTTTTTTTACATTGCTTAGCACAGGGAGGACAACTATTTCCGGGAACGTAGCAGCGAAAGGGTTAAATTAGAATGCATTTGCAAGACAGGTGAAGAACTGACAGTCTGCATACAAAAAAGTCAGATCAGTAAAACAGATGTGCACACTGAATTCTTGTTCTGGAACAAGACCAAAGTCCAGAAGTGGACGAACAACTATAACTTTTACACCTGAGTTTACAGCCAATAAACAAGAAGAAGATAATGAAAAAGATTCTCCACGACATTTAGTTAACAAAAGGTTAAGCATAAGACATACCATCATAACAATACTTTGAAGGCTTTTCTCATGGGCATGCTGAAAAATCCTTTCAGTAAAGAGCTGAATAAATGGGCTTCCTTGAGACATGGATCTGTAAGCTTTGTAACCTACATGTACGATAGATGTAATAATCATTTAGTTATTTGGGTGGGCTTATTGAGTTTAGCCAAAAGACAAGTAATGACCAGCATATTCATACCAACACTGTGCTACCAGTGCCAAATCAAGACATTTCAAAAAGGTGAAATACGTACAATTAACATAATTAGTAGACAAACACACATCAGCAATCTAAAAAAAATTCATTCAATGAGGTACATAAATTTTTTTTTTAAATACACCAGTAGTATAAAATAATGTCATTTAAAGAAAAATATAAATAGAGAAACATACACCAGTAGCCTGAAATAATGCATCTAAAGAGAAACATAATTAGAGAAACAAGCACCAGCAGTATAAAATAATGCATCTAAAGAGAAATACAATTAAATAAATATACACTCAGAGTTTTGAAAAATGCATCTAAAGAGAAACATACATAAGTAGTCTACTTGTAGTAGTCTACCTGCAGTAGTCTACAGAAATCATTTTGTATGCACCTAAAAAGAAACATAACCTGCAGAGAATTTTAAAAATAATGCCATACAAGGTATATACATAAAAAAGAGAGAGAGAGACACAAAAATCCTGAGGTAGACCAAGAACAAAATGGAAAGATGAAATAACAGAAACTACAACAGTAACCAGGAACTATGGCTGAGTTAGCCAGATGCTTAAAAACCAGAACTTTATATCTTCACTGACACCCAAAGAAGGAACAAACAAACTTTATGTTAAAAGGATCACAAATTGGGAATGCACCTGAGTCTTACACTCTGCCCTTCCAAACACTCATCTTTCATATGGCAACTGTATTTTGATCGGTAAAGCATGCTTTGTTCACGTAAGAGACAAATAAAGAAGAGGAAGAAGCAGAAATAGCTGCAAAAGAATAAGAAGAAAAATAAGAAGAAAGAGAAGAGGGCCTCGTTGTGGGGAAAACAAGAATAGACCCAATGCCTTCCCAATAAGCATGTCGTAAGAGACAAGTAATCGGGGACTTCCTTCGAAGTTGCTATGAATCTGCCTGAGTTGAGTTGAGTTGAGTAAAGAATTGACATCATAGAATTCAGGACATTCCTATGTGTACTCCGTCCTCATCTTCAGCAGCCAGCACAGAGTTCTAATACTGATGGTACCAGTCACAATCTGCTTATATGTCCCTCTTGCCTTTCCTCTAAGTGTAGTGAGCTGGCCAGACCCGCTAGCTACAACCAGGTGCCTCATTCTCTCCAGGCCATAATAATCTTGTTTCTCTACTCATTTCATTGCTTGTTCCCAAAGGGCCTTGACTATATCTGTTGCATCTGCCTGAGAGGCAAGGAACCAACAATCTGCATACAAATAAGCCAGATATGTCAAATGGATGTGCATGCAACACTCAGGTTCTGGAATAAGATTAAAGTACAGAAGTGGACGAACAACCAGAAAATTCTGATGGAGTTTACAGCTGGTGAAAGTTAAGAAGAAAAAGAAAGAGGTGGAGGAGTAAAAGAGAAACCAGCAATCAAAAATAAAACACACCTAAAGATGATGAATGCAGAAAACACATGTCAGCAGTTTCAGCCCTGTGTTCTGGCAATGGATCATCTGAAACAGTCTCAGGTTCTCTAATGTGATCCAAAGAGGGAGCATCATCTCTGCAATAATTGTTTTCCTGTCCGTCTTCACTTTCTTCTAGATTGTTACTGCTACTTCTGTCACGATTATCTTCATCATCTGTGGTAATAGAATAGTTTGTCCTTTTAAATATCATTATTATTTACAAAGGGTTAATGATCATTATTTATAAGGCAGTCATGATTATTATTTATAAGGGAGTGATGATCATAATTATTTATAAGGGAGTCATAGTCATTATTTTTATAAGGTTTGATGATCATTATTATTTTCAGTGTGGTCATAATCATTAACATTTATAAGGGGTTCATGATCATTATTATTTATAGGGAGTAGAGCTATACCGAATAGTGATTTTCACTATTCAGCCGAATACGAATAGCTGGACCAACTATTTTGCCGAATATGAATACGAATACGAATAGTGAATCATCATCATCAGGTGCTTTGCCGACTGTCATGGGCGATTATGCCTCGCCACAATCTGCGATCTCCTGCAGCATGTATTAGTTTGTGTGCTGACACACCTCCATGACATGGAACAAGACTGTCAAGAATCTTCTCTCGTTGTCTTTCTCTATTCCTCCTTCTACATATCTTTCCAGTGGTCACCACATGTTCCATTTTCCCTCATCTTATAACATGGCCGAAAAATGATGACTGTCTCCTTCTGATGACTGTGAGTAGTTGTCCTCGGGCTCCCACCTCTATCAAAACCTCTCGGTTGCTTTTTTTTTTTTTTGGCTGTCCAAAATATTTTAAGCATTGTTCTGTAAAACCACATCTCTGAGACCTCAAGAAATCGTTTGGCCTGCCTACCGATTGTCCAGGACTTACAGCCATATGTTAAAACTGGATGTATGTAGCAAGCAAGAATTCTTCTTGTAACCTTCAATGACAAAGATATATTGCATAAGATGTTCTTCATTTTTTAAAATGCAGTTTATGCCTGTCCTATTCTGTTTCTTATTTCAGTAATGCATCTTCCATCTGATGTTATCCATGTGCCCAAATACTTAAATTTCTGAACTTGTCCCAAAATAAAACCATTTACTTTTATTGCACATTTAGGAATAATTATTTTCTTTGATACCACCATTACTTCTGTCTTCCCACTATTCAAACTGAGGCCCGTTCTTCCACTTTCGAATAGTGTATAAAATAGATCTAAAAAAAAAAAAGAACATCCATATTGTCAAATGTACACTGAAATTTTACTTCAGAATAGAAAACATTTAAAAACATTTTATGTTTAGCATCTTCAGTCAGTTAGTCTGTGGTAACTAATACCTAGGAATGAAAGTATTCTTAGTTTTATAACAAGTAACTAAACTAGTAAATTGTCACTGACAGCTTTATTAATCCATGAAAGTGGCATTAGCTTAAAAAAAAAAAAAAACGTTCCATGTTGTCAGCATTATGGCAGCTTCTTGTCTCACTGAAGGTATTTCCAGCTGTACTAAACAGACGTTCACTTGGTACGCTTGTAGGTGGTGCACAAAGATAACGCTTGACAGTATGAACCAAGGTAGGAAATCTTGATGTTTATTTTCCACCAGCCCAGAAAACGGGTGTAAGGTAACCATTATTTGTATTCGGCCTGACCGCAACTATTTGGCCGAATACTGAATAGTTATTAGGTCCACTATTTACCCCCGAAGCGAATATTTGGTACAGCCCTAACAGGCAGTGAGGATCATTATAATTAACAAAGAGGTAAGGATCATTATTTATAAGCAAGTCATGATCATTAACATTTATAAGGGGTTCATGATCATTATTATTTATAGGGAGTGAGGATCGATATTATTTTTAAGGGAGTCGGGTTCATTATTATTTAAAAAGGAGGTCAGGATCATTAACATTTATAAGGGGGTATAATTACTTAATCCGGCGTGATGCTGACCACATCACCCATCTTGTGCCGTTGGTCTATAAAAATATAGGTCTAGCCCTATATGCCCTATACGCCTAAAGGCGTGGAAAGGGTCCTTTACTTTTTTACTTTTACTTATAATTACTTAATGAATTAAAAATATATAACAGAATGTAAAGAAGCTACAAAAGTAGTTAGGCACCAAAAGCGAGTATACATGAACAACATTGTCATGAATATGGAAGCTAACCATCAGAACAACAAATCCAGAAAGTTTTTTAAAGAACTGAAGACTGTAAAACGAGGACATCAACAAGGCCTTTATAGTTTAAAAGATCACAATGGGAACATAATAAATAATAATTAGGAAATATGTAACAGATGGAAGGAATACTTTGCTGAATTGTTAAACTGTGAAACCCCACGTAATACTTATCCACAGAAAGAAATATTAAAATGTGAAAAAAATACTAAAGAGCCTGATTTTAAAGAAGTACTGTATGTCATAACATGGCTTTAAAATAATAAAGCAACTGGTGCTGTAGAATTGCAGTTGAACTTTTAAAAGAAGGTGGTCATGTCTTACATGTAAAGATATATGAATTAATACAACTAATTTAGAAGGCAGAGAAATTACCCTATGAATGGAAAGTGTCTTTATTAATACCAATTTTTAAGAAAGGAGACAAGTGTAAGTGTGAAAATTATAGAGGAATATCACTGTTATCTACAAGCTATAAGATACTATTGGCGGTACTGCTAAACAGGCTAAAACAATATGTCAAAGACATATTGGCAGATTACCAAGTGCGTTTCTGACAGAACAGATCAACAATAGATCAGATATTTATTTCACGACAAATAGCAGAGCAAAATTGGGAATATATAAAAGATATACATAATGTTTTTGTGGATTTTAAAAATCATATGATAGTGTGCATAGAAACAGTTTATGGAATGCTATGAAGGACTTTGGAATACTAAAAAAGTTAATTAGCATGACAAAACTATGTATGGAAGATACTCATAATATAATAATACATAAACGCAGAAAGTTAGACCTTTTTCAAATATCATATAATTTAAAGCAAGGTGGTGCTCTGTCCCCACTTCTTTTCAACTTGGCTCTGGAGAAAATTATAAGGAAATTGAAACAAGTGAACTATAGGAGAAACTACAAGAATACTTGGATATGCTGATAACATTGATATCGTTGGAATAAATGAACTAGAGACTGTTAAAATACTGATTGTCTTTAAAGAATCAGCTCAGAAAATGGGACTAGTTATCAATCAAGATAAGACACAATATATGATAATAACTAGACAGGAAAAGGATATAAACTCCTGCCACATACAAGTCGATAATAAGAAAAGAAAATGAATGGAAACATATAAGTACTTGGGTGCACACTTCAAATGCTCCAACATGCTGAGAGAAGAAATACAATGTAGAATACAATCTGGAAATAAAGTATACTATGCCCTTCAACATCTGCTAAAGTCAAAGTGTCTGTCTCGCAATATCAAGATCAAAATATATAAAACGCTGATCAGTTGTGTTATATGGCCCTGAAACTTTTTCACAACTAAAAGAGATGAAACCTTATTACATGTTATTACGGGTTTTTGAAAACAGAGTCTTAAGACGAATCTTTGGACCCATCAAAGATGCAAACAGCGGTGAAAGGAGAGTGAGAAGCAACAACGAAATATATTATCTTTTTAAATCACCACTGATCGCTGGCATCATGAGAGCTAATAGACTTAAATGGTTTTGGCTTGTTGAAAGAATGTTAGAGGACAGAGAAGTAAAAACTGTATACACCAGGGAGATGAATGGTTGTAGACCACGAGGTAGACCAAGAAGACGATGGAGAGATAAAATCCAGACAGACCTGCAAACACTTGGTCTCACCAACTGGAAAGAGAAGGCCAACCAGAGAGATGAATGGAGGCGGGTGATATCTGCAGCAATGAACCTCAAGGGCTCAGAATGCTGAAGAAGAAGAAGATAATTACTTACCCATCTTACAAGCCTGAAGAATTACAAGTTTTTGTTTTCCATTTATAGATCTATGATTACTAATTATAATTCTAATATCAGTCCAGAAAAGAGAGCGGTATTGTGGTGTTCATTAAACAACAGAATTGTCAGACAAGCTTCTAAATATATAAGTAAATAGTAGTAACATAAAGAGAGAGAATTCACTAAAACATCTTAGTATATACAATTTTTGACAGGAGCCTGACATTCAAGAACCATGTGGAAGAGGTAGTGTGAGAGATAAGAAAAGGACTCTATGCCTTGAAGGTGATGGCATCAGCAGATATGGAACAGAGAGTACTCTACACACTCAATCTGCATCTGATTTTTTCGGTGATGGAGTTAGGTTTGGGCCTGCTCATATTATCTAATAGCCAAAGAAAAGCTGGAATGCATGCAAAATGAAGCCATGCGAGTCATTTTGGAATATACATGGGACACACCTATTGTATGCATGTGACAAATACTTGCATTGCCATCCATCTTTGAAAGACACAAGTGTCACAGGCGAAAATGTACCTTAAAGTCACAATGGACAGGAAACACCTTCCAAATGAGACCTTGGGGGACAGCAAGAGACATCGACTGAAAAGAGATAGCTCCTGAATGTCACAGGCAGAAGTCATGATCAGAACTGTTTGTACTACTGACATGGTAGCACATTGTGAGGAATGGGTTACAGTGCAGCCCAGCAAAACAGACTCGCACAAAGTGATAAGTCACCTTGGACCAAGGGTGCTGGCAGTGGATAACTGGTGAAACAGAGGCATCGGCACAAATGCTGAGCAATGAAAATTCACACCCAGGAGACAAACGCAGGAGGGTCTGTAATGAGAGCTAAAAGGAGTGGGTGGAGTTTTACTGCAAAGCCTGACAGACCTGTTTGAAAAAAGAGCACTTCACTTATAATGTCACAACATCCAGTATGAGAATGGAGGTGGAACTTACGGCAGCTTTCCAATGGCTTGAGAGCAGTACAGCCCAACATGTGATCATTGTAATGGGCTCACGGAGCATGCTCCAGAAAATAGAAACTGACCTATTGTGCACAGAGTGGCTTCTTTCACTTGAAAAGATTGATGAGGAACATACTGTGGATTTTCTGGGTGGTAAGTTACGAAATGATAAAGCAGAAGTGTGAAGGCTCTCTGCGATCAAGTGGACAGTTCAAGAGAACAAATCAAGTATCCATATATTGATAGATTAATTCAGCGAGGGGTGAACATGAAGATCTGGAAGATTTTCAACACTGCAGGGAAAACATAGGCGGACATTTAAGCAGGTCGCAATAGGTACTATTAGCATACTGACTTGAAGACAGAGACGGAACAGGTATAGGAATGTCCAAAGTGCAGGCATATTAATTCTTGATTCATTCATTCATAACTACTTACCACCTCTACAAGCTTGAAGAATGAAAAGTTTTGGTTTTCCATTCATAGATGGACAATTTGTGCCACTGAAGACTTTCTGAAGCTGCAGCTTTGTAATGAATGTTCCGGCCACTGGTGAATTATCAATGAGAGCACCATCTTCACCATAAATTATATCACTTGGGCCCCCATGAGATAGAATGACCACCGCTAGAGCTGAAGTCTGGCCCAGGGCAGGTGAATTTGCAAATTCTTCCAGAAGAATTTTCATCCCCTGGGGTGTAACAAAAAAGGTATGGTAACGATACAGCATAAACAAATACATGTGCATGTGTACGTTCCTCACAAGAACATTAACTCTTTCAGCCCCGAGAATCGCATAAGGTGTTATTTGCTACTCTCAAAATTCCAACACCTGCATCATTCTTTTACATCTCATATTTGGTCACAACATGCTATGAAAAGCTGGCTTTCTTCCAGTCACTCAACTGTCTATTTGGCCATTTCAAAAGCAAATCACCCCTGATTGTTCATGCTAATCACCTACTTCTCTCTCCTTAGGTTTTTCTAACAACCTTGTGGTATTTACAGAGTTAAAATGTATGTATTAGGATTCTGAAGAGCTTGGAATGAGAAGTGAGTTGTTAAAGGAAATTTTAAAGAGGCAAGGAATATCTTTCAACCGTATTAAAAGACATAGCACTCTGTTAAAATCTAAACAGGAGGGAAAAGCTGGAGGCATGTGAGCAAGAGTGAGACAATGATGCAACTGGGAGGATACCATCAAAAGATGAACAAACAGCTGTCTGAGAGAGTGTACAGGACAAAACACAGAGCTTGTTGGAGATCATTTGTTGCCAACATTCATTGTTTTGTGCAGATAGCAGCTGACTAATTGATTAATTAGGATTTCAATCTACTTGACTGGGTTTTTTCCATATAGTTCTCTCTCTCTCTCTCTCTCTCTCTTGCACAGTCTACCCTCTGTAGATCACTAGAATTCACATTTATTCCTTTGCATTTCTACTTTGAAAGATGGGCATGTAGAGGTACTTACTGTGGCAGTTTTGTTCTCATAGGAAACTACCTGAAAACCCAAGAAATTAAACATCATGTCCAAGTTGTTCAAGTCTTTACTACTTCCTTTTCTTGGTGGCAAATTTTGGAATAATTCATTATTGATGATTAAACAGTGGCCTCTTGGTGTACTTTCCATTGTGTACAACTGTAAAAATAAATGAAAGAAATTACTGTAACTTTCAGCAAATAAGACTACTTCTTATTCTTCTGTTATTTCACTGATACCAAATTGTATTGCAAGAGGATGGCCGAGAAAAATATTAATCGACAACATTAAAGACACTCTACGCCTTCACGGCAGGACAATAGCCAGTGGCAGCCAAAGTGCACTGGATCGCAAATTATTCCTCCCCTCGACACCTAACGGCAAACGTGGTTTATGATGATGATGATGACCAAGTGGTAGCCCAGTGTTGTGGTTTTCTGTATTTGTCTTGCACTTTGCAAGTATCTTGAGTGATGGATTTGTTCATCTTTTTGCAGGTTTCATCTACACCATTTATTCATCTTCTCCCAGATTTTCTACTGCAAAAAGTCTCATATGCAGTCTGGTGTGGCTGCATTCTCACTAGATGGTTGAACAATTTCATTTTTTGTCTGTCAGTATAATCCAGATATGGTCTTATTCCAACTTTCTCTCTAATGCTGGTATTCGTAACCCTGTCTCATCTAGTGCTATTAGTGACCTTGTGGAGACAGCGCATTTCTCATGTAGTTATTTTCTGTTCTAGTTCCCTATTCATTGTCCATGTTTGGTGCTGATAATATAAAGTAGGGATAAAGATGATATTAATCATTTGCTGTTTTGCTGAGATACATTTGGGTGTCTAAGCAGTGGGCTAACTGGTAGGAGACAGCATTTTCTTCCTTATGTACTCTGGCTTCTGTCTCTCTATCGAGTCTGCCATCCTCCGTAAATATGCTTCTTAGATATTTAAATTCTCACACCTGTTTGATTGTAGTATCGTTAACATGAACATTCATGATATTATATTTCTTGCCTATCCATATTACCTCAGTTTTCGCTGTGTTTATGCTAGAGTATAGTTTTTATGTAATTTATTCATACCTTGTCCTCTTCTTCTAACATCCGATATCCCATGATGCAAAGAAGACACAGACAATAAATTGCACAACTTCTTGCCTGGCATATTTCACTGTATCTCATCAGGTGCATACTTCAGTAACAATTAAATACAATGAAGCAGATAAATGAATTCTTCTAACCGAAATAGAAAATAAGCTGCACTTAAAAGTAACTGCCTCTTTTACCAGGATAAATGCAGGTTCAAGACTATGTCTTTTTGTCTGCACAAAATATAGTGATTTACTGCTGTGGCTCCATTGTACTTCAAGTATTTGTATTGTTGTAACTGCCTCTTTTACCAGGATAAATGCAGGTTTAAGACTATGTCTTTTTGTCTGCACAAAATATAGTGATTTACTGCTGTGGCTCCATTGTACTTCAAGTATTTGTGTTCCAAACACACAGAAAGGAGAAATTGTTTACACTTGTTATTTCCCAGACAAAAAAGGTACCCGGACATATTGTGGGAAGTAAAAGTGGCTGGTGTGACATTTACCATATAATCCATCAAGTACTGACTAAAAATATTCTATGCAATCTTTCTTTCTCAACTGAGATGAGAAAGAGAATTCTTGAAAGCTATATAAATCATATCATGATATAGGGAAGTGAATCATAGATAGTTGGTAGATAAGTCAAACCTTATTTGGAAGCTGCGGAGATGTGGTTTTAGAGACGAATGAGAATATCCTGGACAGATAAAAAGAGTAACGAAAATGTCTTAAAAGAAACTAACTCACAAAGAGAACTGACTGCCCATATCAGAAAGAGACGATCTACATTCTTCGGTCATGTCATGAGAAGGAGACAACTGGAGTACATCGTGACAGTAGAAAAGCTGGAAGGGAAGAGAGGTAGATGGAAACAGTGAGAGGACCGCCTCCCTACTGAGACGACGTGTGTTCTCGAGCTCTCACTATTTGGATTTATTATTCAACTTGTGACCGTTATTCTATCAGTGGTGCAGTAAAATATTGTGTTGTGCCTTTATGTATCATTACGTGATGAAGTTGTTGGCTTCTTGAAATAAAGAGCCAATGAAGCATTTGTATACTGGGTGGAATTAACAGGTACAGAGTTCAAATGGGCGTGTCTCTGGGTTGAAATGTATCACTGACACTCGATGTGAATTGAATATCCTTCAAACGATAAAAAGGGAGAATGGGACAAGCCAAGATAAAGGCCCATTCCACAGTGGGATCCAAAATCAGCCATTCAGTCGCATTACGTTTCAGCCAGCAGCAATCACAATGACAGAAGTTCAAAGCCCTTCTGCCTTCTCCATGGAGCCGATTGTGCTGACACTGTTAACTCTTTCTGGCCCAGACAGGTGCGGCAGTAGAATAATAAATATATGCCTCTGACATAGCAGTTAACTTACCTGTGAAATAGAAACATTGACAGTAGAGCAGAGCAGTTTATAACAGTTAACAAATAAATACAGTAACATAGATAAACATCTCTGCATCATGTTTAGAGAAATTAGCGAACATTTTATAACTTTTTTTTACAATGAAGGAGTTAACGACTCAACATGATAGGGCGGTATCCATGAAGCCGTGGGTGTACCCGACTTTGAACACTAGTCTCTCTGCACCTGCGATGTCACACAAAGTCAGCTACATTGTTATCATCTGTGACTTGAAACTGGTCAAAAGACGTTACACTAGGCCATCAGAGGAACGAGTTTATTTTCTGGACCCACTAGGAGCCGGATACACAACAGTTTATGGATAGGAGAAAGACATAAGTACATTCAATGAATCACCGACGTTGGGACTTGTCTCTTACATTTTCTGTACGAGACAGCATCTGTTCGGGATTTCAAGATAAAAACTTTAACCCTTTGATGCCCTACACCAAATACTTTTGGATTACTGTACAGAAGCATTGATAAACATTTTCTTCCTGGAGGAATTAGTCCTTTGGTGATCTCTCTCTCCTCCTCTTCTTCTTTATGTCTCTCTATTTTTTTTTAAATGTATACCTGTACCTCTCTTTCCTTCTCTACTTTGATGTGTACGTGCTTGTGAACTGTTAATTATTATTAATTGTTGTCACAACTATTACCAGTATGTATAAGTGTAAAATGCATATGTGCATGCAAATAGTATTTTATTTATAAATGTATGCTGAAACATAAGGCTAATGGTATATGAAAGAAAAATGATAACTTGTGTGCACCATTAACACACACGTGTGAGCATGTAGGGAGTCGGTAGCCCAGAACCCAAGTTTAAGGACTGCATGGTTGTGGCGTGCACAATCATTAACGAAGGAAGTCAGGTCGTACAAGGGCAACACTTTGCTGATGGGCGTTACTACTTTCCAGTACGCTGCGCATCAGCCTGGTGTAACTGGGTGTCTGCAAGACAGGTCACACAGAACACCGGGAAAGATGAATGCTATTTTTAAACAACCCTCGTGGTGGATACCTAAAGTCGCAGAAGCCTACACAGACACACAAGCTGCCACCAAAGACTGGGAGAAAACAGAAAGTCTTCAAATTTTTCAGACATTAAACAGAAAAAAGATAGACTCACTGAACATTTTAAAGAACTTGCAAAGGAGTCTAAGCACTCAATGTGGGAACATTTTTGCCAAGAAATATGTTACAAAAAATCTCTCAGAAAATTATGGCGTCTCCATCACAAGATGAATGGAGGCAAATAAATCTTTGTTATGCCCAAGCTAAAGATAGACAACGGGGTGGTGTTACAGTCGGATGAAGACAAAGGCAAGGCTATCCTGCATCGATTTCTCCTGCAGGCGGAAAAGACAGATAGGGAAGAGAGCGAGCAGATGAAAGAGAGATTACACAATATCCACACTGCTGAAATGGAGGAAGACGATGATACAGTATACATCTCAAATAATTGCATCTGAGCAACAGTGAAGACCTGTCCAGACACAGCTCCAGGTCCTGATGGCATTAGAAACAGCGACTTCAAAAGCCTCGATGAGACAGATATGGATGAATTATCCATGATATTAAACAACACCATGAAAAATGGCATTATCCCTGATGACTGGCTCCAAAGCTACCTTAGACCCGTTCCTAAGCCAGGAAAAGACCACATAAGAATTAATGGCTACAGAATCATCACACTCCAGAACACTATTGGAAAACTCATGGGAAAAAATTGTGGCCAGAATGTTGACCTAAACATTGGAGTCGCGTGGTCTATTCCCCGCTATACTAGGTGGTTACCGGCCGGGAAAAGATACATGGTGCAATGCTGCAGTATTTGCCTACAACACATATGAGGGTTTCCAGGAGGGAATGGAAACGGCTGCAGCCACTACTGACTTAGAAGGTGCGTACAACAGCGTCTCATACAACAATCTCAGGAGACTGCTGTTAGGTATGCAGATAGAAACAAAATGGGTCAATTGGATCGCAGCAACACTATTAGAAAGAACAGAATCGCTTTGATGTGTTGAATGGGCATCAAAACCTCAACGCGTCCTAATGGGTCTGCCCCAGGGATCACCACTGTCGCCTGTGCTCTTCATTGTGTACATAGCAGGAGTCATCGGTGCACAAAGCGTAGGTCTAGGCAGAACAATGTCCTATGCAGATGTTATCCTTGTTTACCGTCGAGGTAAAAACAGGCACAGAATAACAACCACGCTACAACACGAACTAGACAGACTTAGCGAGTGGTGCCAGGAATCAAGAGCTCAAATGAACCCATCCAAAGCCTCCTTAACATGGTTCTCTCTGAATACCCACATTGTCAGTACACCAACATCAGTCGTAAGCATGTGTGGACATTGAGAGAACAGACACCATGAAATACCTGAGCATGACATTTGACAGATGCTTGTCATACAAATGCCATGTAGACAACATCATACTTAGAGCCAGGAAAGGTCTGACAGCACTCAAGGTGCTAGCAGCAGCTGATATTGAACAACGCCTACTTTTCCTTCTCTCTCAAGGGCTTGTATTAAGCGTCATTAACTATGGTCTTGGCCTCCTCACTGTTAGCAAAACCCAGCTAGAAAGACTGGACCGAGTTCAAAATGAGGCCAAAACTCATACTCAGCTGCACAAAAGACACTTCAGCCCTCTTCTGTTTTCTCTTTTCATTTTATATTATGTTTCTGTATACATTCTTCATCTGCAGAAACAATCACAGACAGGAAATAAGCACCATAGCATAAGGAAACATTAAAAAAATTGAAACAACCAAGAAACAATTATTAAGGAAATAAATAACTCACGCTGTTTGGGTTTTCAATGACAAGCTTGTTGTACTTTCTTAACTGTGATGATATATCTAACACAAAGAAACAAAATAAACATAATTATTCGCACAACTGAATCTTCTTCTCCCTCTCTCTCCTTACTGCTGCTTTTGTTTGACCAAAAACATGCCTGTTCATTTCTTAGCTTTTTATCAATAGCAAAGCATTGAACTGAACTCACCACTTTATATTGGATTTATAGACTATGAAAAAGCATTTGACAGCATTGATAGGGAATCTCTCTGGAAATTGATGGGTCACTATGGAATCCCACAGAAAATTATTAACTTAGTAAAGGCAACATATAAAGACATGAAATGTTGAGTTCTTCATGAGGGAAAGCTAACAGATACATTTGAATTAAAAACAGGTGTGCGACAGGGATGTCTTTTGTCGCCTCTCTTATTTTTACTGGCTATTGACTGATTATGAAAACTAACTGCTAACACCAAGAATGGAATTCAGTGGACCCTTACAAAACAGCTTGATGATCTGGACTTCGCCGATGATATTTCTCTTCTGTCCCATTCACGGAATCAGATGCAAGATAAATTAAATATACTTGATGCGAGATCACAGCAGCTTGGTCTGAAAATCCATAAAGGAAAGACAAAGATAATGAGAATAAATCAGGCAAATAGTAATGTGGTTTCTCTTAATGGCACCCCACTCCAAGACATGAGTCGTAAACCTATTAGGGCAGTAATGTAGATACAGATGGAGAAATTGATACAGATATTAAAATAAGTATACAAAAGGCAAGAGGAGCTTTCATAGCACTAGAGAATTTGTGGAGGTCAAAAGAAATTTTAAAATACTAAACTTCTTCTTCTTTTGTCAAAATCTGCTTGTGCCGCTAGGCGTCGCAGTCTATCAGATGATCGGCAACCGAGCCAGGGCGCGCTCAGTCGCTTCATATGCCGTGATGTTATGAAGTCTCAAGTTGTCCGTGACTCCTTCAATCCATCTTCTTCTTGGTCTTCCCCTGCCTCTTGTTGTTTCGATTTTCATGTTGTATGCTCTTGATGCTGGCATCGTTGGTTCCATTCTCATTAGGTGACCAAACCATTTCATTCTTTGCTTCTCAATAAATTTAACGATGGGTATGGTTCCAATAGTTCTTGTGATCACATCGTTTCTCACTCGATCTCTTCTGGTTTTATTCGCAGCCATTCTCAAACATCTCATTTCACAGGTGGTTAGTAAAAATACTAAACTAAACTGTTTTAATTCTAATGTTCAAATCAGTACTTTTGTACAGGGCGGAAACATGGAGAACAACTAAGGCAATTACTAATAAATTACAGACATTCATTAACTGGTGCCTGCGCAGAATAGAGGGAATTAAATGATATGATAGAATAACTAATGTAGAGCCTTGGGAGAGAACTAAACAAGCTTCAGTGGAACAAGAGGGAGGAAAAGACGCTGGCGCTGGATTGGACACACACTGAGAAAACAGGAGAACAGCATAACCAGAATGTCTTTGCATTGGAACCCACAAGGGTATAGGAATAAAGGAAGGCCAAAAAACACATGGAGAAGAGAGCTGGAGAATGAAGTTAGAAAGATGGGGAGGACATGGGGAGAGCTCCATGCAATGGCGAAGGATAGAATAACTTGGCGTGAGGTGGTTGAAGGCCTATGCTCCATTAGGGGATAGAAAGTCAGAAGAAGAAAAAGACTGCTGCTTCTTTTTAACTTCTTCTTCATACACTTCAGACATCAACCCGAAAACATTTAAAGAGAATAGCAGTCACTTTGAGCAATCATTCCCTTGCTAACTTCCTGCTCTGGATACTTATATGCCATAGGAACTTTCCTGCCTTGGAAACTTTCATGCCCTGGGAACTTTCATGCCCGAGGAACTTTCATGCACTGGGAACTTTCATGTCTCCAGAATGTTCCTGCCCTGAGAAATTTCATGCTCCAGGAATGTTCATACCCTAAGAACTTTCATGTCTCCAAAATTTTCCTGTCCTGGCAACTGTCATGCTCTAGGAACCTTCACACCCTGAGAACTTTCATGCCCAGGGTGTTCTCAGTATATCCTTACCCACCATAATACTTGTCGAGTCCAGCCTTTTCTACAGTGAACCATACCTTCTATTTCTGTTGTCTCAGAATCGTTACATTTAATGTGAAGAAAATAATATTTTTAGTTAGTCTCCTTCAAAATTCCCATATAAAGAATGATAGTATTTTTTTTTCCTCTAAGAATCTTTCTATAAAAATTAGAATCAAAAGCCCCAATTTTCTTCTTAAACTGTACCAGATTCACAATAACCTGCTGTTACAAATATGAAATTATGAGTTTCTTGGGATGCCTTATGTGGTAATTTCCCCTTGCTTTCCACATCAACATGGCTTTAGATGACATCCTCAGCCTTTAGCCCTATTAACTTTTTTTGTCATGACCAGAAACTGCTTGAACTCAATCTACTTTTTACAAAAGTTATGTGCTGGTCATGAAGAGTTCAAGAAATAACACTATATAACAGAAGTAACTAAGCTAACACTTTACATTTGATAAGTTATTGGAGAAAATCTTCCTCTTCTTCTTTGTTCACTGGCTGTAAGCTCTGGTGAGAAAGTCCTGGTTGTACCTCCATTTAAACTTTGGCTTTGTGCCAGGGTCTGTTTTTTTTTTTTTTTTACATGAACATCCGTTTTACTGGCTTATTTGTGTGCAGTTGGTTGTTCCTTGCTGCTCGGGCAGATGCACTCTGTCTGCGAAGAAAGTCCCCAATTAGCTGAATCCTATGAAATTCTTGTTGGGAAGGCAGTGCGTTTATTCTTGTTTTCCCCACAATGGGACCCCAGAACACACACACAGGGAAATGCAGGAAATATCTGTTAAAAAGTTGATTTTTTTTTTTCTGGACTCAATAAATGTACAATGAAACTTGTATAATGAGTTCACAGGGAAAGAAAGAGTTAAGTTGACAAGGTTGGGGTGTCCTCTTCTCTGCGACTTATTTATTTGTGCATTCATTCACTGTCCTGTTGTGCCATTATATGCCACACAGGGCTTGCTGGCTATTCCTCCGTTCCGTTCTATCTTGTGCAATCCATTCGATATCATGGACGGAATCCAGTCCGGTACCTTTGGCTTCTCATCAACGTTCATTTTATGATTTCTTTTGGACATCCTCACTTCATCAATACCTTTATTTCCCATTTAATGCAAGTTTGGTGATTCTCTGCTAGTTTCTTCTTAGAATGTGTCCAACACAGCACCATCTTCTTTGTCTTAAAAATGTTGTGAATAGTCTTCTCTGTGATACTCTTCCTAATTGCATTCTGTGATAATACAGCCTGTCTTAGAAGACAAGTATATTTATAATAAACACTAACCTCTTTGACGCACAGCTCCTCCTGGGGGTACATCATCTCCACAAGATGGAGGAACATAACGGTCTGGAGATAAGGCTTCTGAAGCACTGCTACCAACATAATTTTGGCTACTTTCAAGAAAATCCCAGGACAATTGTTTTGAACTGCCAAAGGAAACTGGATTGTCATGAGATGATAATAGATCGGATGGGCAAGGGACTGCAGGACCAAGGGAAATATAGTTGATATGTCCGGAAACTATACTTGGTTCTGTGGTTTCTGCAGGTGAGCCAGAAACATTATAACTGCTGTGGAATGTTTCTGGTGTTCCCAGCTCATTAGAATTCAATACATCCATATACCCAGCTGTGCTCATGTTAGGTTCTAAAGGTTCAGCATTCTGGAAGATTCGAGATGCATTCAGTGGGGGAATTGATGCATTATGCTGGGGTAAAAAGGCATTTTGTGGGGGAATAGATGCATTATGCTGGGGTAAAGGGGCATTTTGTGGGGGAATAGATGCATTATGCTGGGGTAAAGGGGCATTCTGTGGGGGAAATGATGCATTCTGTGCAAGACTTGGTGAATTCTGTAGAAGGATTGGTTCACTCTGGGAGAAATTTTGTGCATTCTGTGGGTTAACAAAAAATGCTGTTGTAAATACCCTTGCAACTGTTCTACTAAACTGCTAAAGATAAAAGTTAACTTCAAAATATATATATATATATATATATATATATATATATATATATATATATATATATATATATATATATATATATATACACACACACACACACACACACACACATAAAAGCAGATTCAACATGAGACAACAAGAAAAACAACATTAAAATTAACAGAACTCACTAAATTACCATACATAACTGAAGTTTCAGTGTTTTTTAGATGATTATCTTCTGCTTCTCCTCATGATGTGCCCAATGTACCCCACCATCTTCTGTCTTACAGCTGCTGATGCAGTGATTGTCCAGACATTTCTCTTATTTCTTGTTCTTCCCTTCCTCTCTTACCACTTTGGGTGTCGAGGAAGATATAAGGTTTTACTTCTTGCTCTTATGGACGTCTTGACCACAGACACACCATGCTTTTGTATAGTTTCTCTGATGTTATCTTTCCATCCTGTTCTTGGTCCACCCAGTGCTCTTATTTCTTAACCTTTCTTAAATTTATCCTATTTAATATTCATCACTTTTTCAGACATTTGTTTTGGAATACATTTAACTTTTCTTACGTATCTTTAGTGGTTTGCCAACTTTCCCTGGCACATGTTGAAAACCGAAATAACAGTTAAAAACAGGTAACTTGGTTTGAAAACTGCATAATTTAGAGTTCATTATTTTTGTTGAGGCTTTTAAAAGCTTCTGTTGCCTTATCAACGCAAAAAATAATAACAGTAATTATTAACAGGATAATTTTATCATTCTTACCTCGTAATTTGGTAAATTGTGTCCAGTTTCCTCTCTATAATATGTGTTGATGAGATTAAAAACATGTTCGTAATCTATTCTTATAGCTGCTAAAAAATTTAAGAAATTTCCCATACATAGTGTGCGTGCACTTTCACATATTGTGGTCATAATGTCATAGCTTGCTCTGTCTCTGCCCTGAAAGAAGATTAAGACACCATTTAGTCTGTTCGTTTAAAAGAATTTTAAAAAACACAGAGGTGTCTACAGAGAAGAAAAAGATACATAAGGACCTTTTTTCACGATTTCAGGCATACTGAGCACATAGGGCTAAACCTATATTTTATAGACCAATCGGCACTGGGTGGGTGATGTAGTCAACATCACACCAGCCGCCTTTACTTCCCAGGACAGGACCTGGTACCCATTTAAGGCTGGGTTGACCTGGGGGAGGGGGTGACAAGGTCATTTTTGAAAAATGTCTGGTTCAGTTTAGACTCGAACTCATGACAGGATTTTTGTTTTCAACTGGACTGTTAGCTGATAGCATACAATGTATTGCTTGAGTAGTAGTAATAATAACATTTAAATATCCTGTTCAACCCTCAGTTTATAATTCAGACATAAAGTGTTTACTGACGTTTCTGAATATATATTTGCTATTTAATATATCACATAATCGCTTCATTGAGACAAAAGAGTAAATGCTTATCTCATAATTATTCTTCACCATTCTGTATCCTGTTTAACCACTAAGTTTCAGGTTTAAATGAGTCTGTTATGAGTGTGCTGTGTGTTCAATACAATGTGCTATTCACTTCATCTTGGTTTTTGTGCTTGAAGAAACACCGAAATCAAATCACTTACCAAAAGAAAATAAAAGGAACTGTGAAGAGAACAAACCAAAAGCAAACATCTACAATAACATCTAACAAAAAACAATGTACAACAATTTTCGTCTAAGAACAGAACATTGCAGGCTCAACTACCACCAGCATAAAATAAAGTATGACCAGGCCCTACAGTGCATGTCAAAATGACCACAACACATGAATGCCTTCTGCACGCCTGTCCACTATACTTAAACTATGAAGAGAAACCTGGCCTCAAGAGCAAAGTGTGCAGAGTAAGCTATGGGGAACCACAGAGAACCTGCAAATGACATGTAAATTTGTAGAGGCAGCCTACATGAAGATGTGAACCAAGCATATGAAACTAAATGCAAAGAAGATGAAGAGAGCTTGAAGAAAAGAAGGAGAGCCCTGCAGAATAATCCCTATACAGAAGGCACTCTGGGAGACAAGTCTTTATACTAACCCCACTACAAAAGCACAAACCAAGGTCCAAACAACCTAAATTAAGGCTTTAAGCACCAAACTACTCATCATACCTTTCTTGGTGTTTCCAAAGAAAATATTATGTTCTTGCTGTCTGAGGAGATGAGAAAGGTGATGGGCTTGTTGCAGGTATAGCCACAGAGAAGGGCAGATTCGCCACGCACCAGACTGATATACTGAATGCTCCATGACAATAATTACCACAATCAGGTCAGTGTTTTTTTGTTGTTTTCCACAGTAGGTGCTAAGCCATCCAGGTGACAAAGACCTCTTTGTCATCCCCCTGCTCTGCCTATTCTTCTCCTACAATTGTTCCCCTTCTGCCCTCTATGGAGCATAGGCCCTGAACTAAGTCGTCTTATCTTTTAGCTATCGCATGCAGCTCATTCTGTAGTCAGCATTTGCTCCTTTTACCCTGTGGATTCCAGTGCAAAGATTATTACACTGTTCTCAAGTTTTCTCAAGGTGTATCCTATCCGATGCCAGTATCTCTTCCACACTTCTCAATTCAAAGGAATTTGTTTAGTTTAATTCCCTCTATTCTGCAAAGGCATCAAACATACAAAAAACAAGCAAGACATTTATGTTATCTAACTCACTTCTGCTCTTTGCAGCATAATTCTTGGAAATATAGCACGCAAATGGGGATTCAGGTACTGAAAGTCCACTTCACTAGCAATATCATGTGTAAACCTGTCCATGATCTTCATTATGAGATTATGGTCTTTCTTAATTTGATCCACAACAGACATATTTCTGTAACAGTGATTACAAATTTAAAAAGGCATGTTAAATTGAATTGCTTCTTCATACACATTTAGATGTCAATCTGAACAACCAAAATATATTTCAGGAAATCAGCAGCCAGTCTGAGACTGACCTCAGAAAATACAGTCTTATTCTCAGACTGCTGTTATTGCAACAGTCTGTACATCAGAAATAGTGCTCTAGTCACAAATATCCATTTTTTAACCTCTAAGCAATAGCAGATGCCGCGTTAGCTGAAAGTTGAAATCTTCTGACATCGGATTTAACAAATAAACTGCTATCTACAATCGCGAACAACTCACGATTCTCACCCCATCTCGTTTGCCTGCGTGATTTTGTAGTCGTTCCCATGTGCTGTCCTATGTTTGATGGGTGTTATAAGATGCCTTCCTTTGATGTCTATATACACCATGCCGAAAACTGTCTTGGGTTTGTTCGACAGAGGAAAACTGGGCAGCTTTCTTGTGACAACTGTCTTTTCTGTGAAGGACTGTTGTCTGTGGACTGTGTTGCTGTTGTGAGTAGCTCAGGCACCGCAGGTGTACAAGGAAGAAGTACTGCAGGTAAAGTGCTGAAGGCGCAATGGTTCATGTGTGTATTGAATCATTTATCTTTTTGTATTTTTATGCTCATTGGTGGTGGCTGACTGTGGTGGTGGATATTGCTTAAAACATTTAAAACAAGCAACACCGAACACCCCTCAAACATAGGACAGCCCATGGGAACAAATATGAAAATAATCCAGGCAAATGAGATGAGGTGAGAGTTGTAAGTTGTAGTTACATTTATTTGTTTTTGTTTCATGTTTGGTTAGCTGTCAGGTAAGCCAGGAAACACTTTCCACTGTTGTGGTGTGCACTGGAGTAAAAAGATAGAGAAACACTGATAAAAAGCTCAAAATATACATGTGGGGGAAATATACATGTGTGGATACCAATCATTAATGCTCCTATATTACAGAGACTTACATGGGTATAATGTTCAGGTCATGCAAGAGTGTGAGACAATGAACAAATCAGCCTGTTATTGCAAAGCCACCAGAGGTGTGAACATATGTAATGGATAAAGCAAACATTCTCAGAGCTGTCTATTAAAACAAAATCAAGTGAAAGATACATTCTTAGATAAAACAGAATACTTAGGAAGCCTGATTTTAGCATCAGTGCGAGTGTGCTACTGGAATATTTAGTATTTGAACTTTATTATATTTGCTCCAGGAGCTGGACCATCTATGGTTATGCCCAATGTGCTATCGTCAATTCTTAAAATAAGTCAAAGAAGATAAATAATGGGATTTGACAATGCTCCACAATTAAACACATGCACATGTGCGCACGCATGTACACACACACACACAGCATATCTGGTTTCCTTTTTATGGTAAAGACTTGACTAAAACTGATGCTGCACGAATCAGCATGTGAACATTCAGAAATAGAAATATGTATGGATGTAGATGCTCAAATGTAATTAGTTTTTTTTTTAATTATAAAGGATCTATTCAAGTATGATGGTCTCACAATTTAAATGGAAATAACATGCTGTTACTACAATATGATCATTTACTGTACTTATTTATTGCCTGACATCTAAACATCTTTATCTTCTTGTTCATTCGCATTTATGGGAAATGGGAAAATCACCTGGAATTGATGGTATCACCAACGAAATGATCAAGAACCTTGGAACAACTGCCCAAAAAAAAGCTGCTACAGATCTTTAATCATTGTTGGACCAGTGGCAAAGTTCCTCAAATATGGAGAGAAGCAATCACAATACCTCTGCTTAAACCAGGAAAGGACAGTTCTGATGCCTCCAGCTATAGATCGATCAGTCTTACCAGCTGCCTCTGTAAAACAATGGAACGTATTGTCAACCTTAGACTCCAATGGTACTTGGAAAGTGAAAACATTTTCACGCCGCAGCAGGCAGGATTTAGACAGTGCTACTCCACAGAAGACCAGACAACTTACCTTTCACAAGAAATTGAGGATGCCTTCCAGGAAAAGAAGCTAGTGCTAACGGCATGGATAGATCTGAAGAAAGTCTTTGACAAGGTCTGGAAAGAAGGTCTACTGAAGAAACTGAGAGACTGCAGGGTGAATGGGAGAATGTACAAATGGGTGAAAGCATACTTGTATAACAGAAGATCCCGAGTACAGATAGATGGACTTAAGAGTAAGAAAGTTTTGCTGCGCCATGGCGTCCCACAAGGAGGTGTTCTGTCCCCCACACTCTTCCTAGTCTATATCAACGACCTGCTTTCTGAACTACCCCATGGAATTAAAGCTGCAATGTATGCTGATGACTTGGTACTCTGGTGTACAAATGAAAATGCGACAGTGGCCACCAGGCTGCTACAAAGAGCCATAGATGCAATGGCTGATTGGGCCAACAAATGGTGTGTCAGCATCAACATAGGCAAATGCAGCACCACCCTCTTTACCCTTTCTCCTAAACAAAAATCAGGTGTCATGCACATAAATGGAGTACCCCTGAGAGAGGATAAGGAGCCCACATACCTCGGCATAACGTTTGATGATAGATTAACATGGAGAAAACACATCAACAAGGCAGCAACCAAAGCCAGAAGGAGGGTAGCCATTCTGAGAAAACTAAGTGGAACCACATGGGGTGCTAGTGGGAAAATACTTAGAAAAGTTTACCAACAAAGTGTTCGACCACATCTTGAATACGGATCAACAGCATGGAGTTCGGCATCAAAAACCACACTGCAAGAATTAGACAAAGTGCAAAATCAAGCACTCAGAGTTACCACAGGCAGTATGAAATCAACACCTATAGCTGTGATGGAGAAAATGGGGTTGACCCAAGCACTGAGTGAACGCAGAGACACCAAGATGCTTTTACAAGCAGAAAAGTTTCTTAGTATGCCCAGTCACCCTATGAATGAAAGATTCCAAAATTTAGCTTTGGGACGACTAAAGAGAAGTAGTTTTATCCACCAGGCCAAACGGCTCGGCAGACAAACCACTGATTTACCTGCAACTGATAGATCCTTAAATGCTGTCCCAGAACGGACCCCCTGGAGAGAGGAGTATAAGTTTCCAATACACATCAAAACTGAAGTGAAAGGGGTATTTGACAAGGAAGAACAAAACAGTGTGCAGCGCAAAACAGCCACCCTCAGTCTACTTGATGATGAATACCCGCAGAACCTTTGGGTCCGTGTTTACACAGATGGGTCAGCAGAAAGCGCAGTCAGAAACGGAGGTGCGGGAGTGTACATTGAGTATCCTAATAATACCAGGGGTACAGCCAAATTACCAACGGGAAAGCACTGTCACAACTATGATGCAGAAGCTCAAGCCATCAAGATAGCGGCAGAGAAACTACTAAATACAGGGTATTTTCACAACCAGTGGTATTCCTGACAGATGCAAAAGCAGTACTTCAGTCACTCCAGTCTGGAAAATTACCAAGCATACAGACACTATTATCCGAACTAGGCAACCGCTGTAAATTAGTAATGCAGTGGATACCTTCCCACTGTGGAGTTCCCGGAAACGAAAAAGCTGATAAACTAGCTAAGGAAGGTGCAACTGAAGAACAACCTAACATACCAGTCTCTTATCAACAGAAGAAGAGAATGATCAAATCAATCAGAATGCCACCGAAACTGGCACAAGATGATTACCATATTATGGACAGACCAGAGCAAGTCATTATCCTTCGCCTTAGAACAGGGCACAATCGACTTCGCTCCCACATGTACAACAAATTTAAGATTGGCCAATCAGCCATGTGTACTTGTGGACTGGCACCTGAAACAACAGATCACATCCTTCAAGACTGTCCCAGATTCAACGCTTTCAGGCAAAACCTTTGGCCAAAAGAGACACTTGTGGAAGTCAAACTTTACGGGCCGCTTAGTGAATTACAAAAGACAGTGAAATTCATACTAGAGACAGCTTTGCAGATATAGACAATTTATTTCATGCGAACGAAAGAAGAAGAAGAAGAATTCGCATTTACTGGCTGTAAACTCCGGCAAAAAGTTCTAGTTATCCATCCACTTCTGGACTTTATTTAGTCTTGTTCCAGAACCTGAGTGTTGTGCGCAGGTCGGTTTAACATATCTAGTTTATATGAATACAGACTGTTGGTTTCTAGCCTCCTAGGCATACACGCTCCAACATCGAAAGTTGCTCCCAGTTTTTCGACTCTTCGACATGCTTTTTGGCGAGCCAGTGGGCCTATTCTTGTTTTCCCCCACAATGAATGACAATGGGGCCCTGGAATTAATATCATCATCATCAGGTGTCTTGCCAACTGGTGTGGGTGATCATGCCTCTCCACAATCTGCAATCTCCTGAAGCATGTATCAGTTTGTGTGCTGACACACCTCTATGCCATGCAACAAGACTCAATAATCTTCTCTCGTTGTCTTCCCCTATCCCTCCTTCTACAGATCTTTTCAGTGGTCACAACATGTTTCATTTTCCCTCTTCTCACAACATGGCCAAAAAATTATGACTGTCTCCTTCTTATGTCTGTGATAAGTTGTCTTCGGGCTCTGGCCTCTATCAAAACTGATTGGTTGCTCTTTTTGGCTGTCCAAAGTATTTTAAGCATTCTTCTGTAAAACCACATCTCTGAGGCCTCATTAAATTGTTTGGCCTGCCTACTGATTGTCCAGAACCCACAGCCATATGTCAAAAGTGGATGTATGTAGCAAGCAAGAATTCTTTTTCTAACCCTTAATGGCAAAGATATATTGCATAAGATGTTCTTCTTTTATAAAATGCAGTTTTTGCCTGTCCTATTCTGTTTCTTATCTCAGTTATGCATCTTCCATCTGATGTTATCCATGTGCCCAGATACTTAAATTTCTGTACTTGTGAAAAAAACACCATTGACTTTTATTACACATTTAGGAATATTTATTTTCTCTGATACCACCATTACTTCTGTCTTTCCA